AGAAACAGTGTTCTGAAGACCAAGGGAAGCAAGTCTCCGCCCGAGCGGAGTGCCCCCTGGGTTAAATGCCACTGCGATGCCTTGTGGAACACGAAGAACCAAATGAGGGCACTGGATTTGGCTGAGAGCGGTGTGTAGGTACATCGTGTCCCACTTACACTGAAGCCCAGAAAGCTTTAGATGTGGCCGTGGAAACACAGGTGATAGAGGAGAGTTATGCTTAGTGTCCTCCCCTTACCTGCTTCCAAAATAATGAATGAGTCCCTTGGAATTTCAAAAGGTTAAGTGATTAAACCAAAACAAACTCTTGGCTTTTATATGTTGGATTAGTTTAGTCAACTGTTCTCAACTTGTGGGTCGCGACCCCTTTGGCGGTTGAACGACCCTTTCACATGGGTCGCCTAAAGCCATTCTGAATATCACATATTTACATTATGATTCATAACAGTAACAACATTACAGTTATGAAGTAGCAACGAAAATAATTTTATGGTTGGGTCACAACATTCGGAACTGTATTTAAAGGACCAGAAGGTTGAGAACCACTGGTTTAGATCCTTGGGGGGCTCACATGTGTTTACACTGTCCTCTAGGCAAGGGAATCCAGGGATTAAGCATAAGGATTCCAGTAAACACCCAGGGGTCTGCATATGCACAGATATGTTTGCAAAGATGAGGGAATAATTAGGGGCACCGCCTTCAACACTCCCCTAAGTGGGCATTCTGGTAAACAGGGCAGGGGGCCTCCCACACACTTCCCTTTTATCAGAATGTCCTCCTTACAAACTTTCCAACCAAGTCTCTTGTGCTCCCCAGCATGTAAGGAAGGGGTAAGAAAACAGTCAGAAGTCTGGAGTGAATGAAACCTAAACCGTCAGTACCTTGGAGCTTTAGGACATTTGTGGATGAGCATAAAGTGCATCCAACCTCCACATCTGCGGGTGACGGTGTAGCTTATATGGTAGAAAAGCTGAATAAAATACTGAAAGCACCTGAAGGTATTAGAGAAAAATCAAGTCAGACAGAACCTGAAGGAAATTGCTGGAGAGAGTGTGGGAGCACCTAGGCAAGCCCCACATTTACCTGTGTTTCCCCCCAGGGCATTTACTAACTGATAGAGCAAGGAGCAGAGACCAAGCTGCGCCTCCCACCTGGCGGGGTTTGACAGCACCCCTGAGGCTGTGCCCTCCACACTGGGCTGGGGGACCTGAGGATGTGTGCCCCCCCCCGCCCCAGCTGGGCTTGGAAGGGTCCCTAAGGCTGTGCGCCCCCTACCCCCACCCCACTCCCCCCACTGGGCCAGGGGACCTAAGGCTGCGCCCCCTGCCTGGCGCAGGCCCATGAGACCTGAGGCTGGGCCCCCCACCTGGTGGGGCTTGACGGGGGTGGGGCCGGCTGGGTCTCCTGTGATTTCGAGGAGCGCACAGGTGGCATTTCAGTAGGCTGGGAAGAAGGACGTTGACATTCAGAGATCCATGGAGTCTGAAATTTGAAATGGAAGCGGGAACCTTAGGGAAATGAGCCCAAGATTCAATGTGCAGTTTCCACTGGAGGTGTTTGTCAGGTCCTAAGCTGTACATGCTCAGGGCAAGATTCCCAGCCCCTAAGTTGAAAGCAACAGTTGCGAGGCTAATCAGTTGTGCAGCCCAGCCAGCATAGCTCAGTGGTTGAACATCGAACTATGAACCAGGAGGTCACAGTTTGATTCTCAGTCAGGGCACATGCCTGGGTTGCAGGCTCAATCCCCAGTGTGGGGCGTGCAAAAGGCAGCTGATCAATGATTCTCTCCCATCATTGATATTTCTATCTCTCTCTCCCTCCCTCTCCCTTCCTCTCTGAAATCAATACAAATATCCTATTTAATGAAGAAGGAATATGCAAAACGACCATCACAAAGATGGCTGCACCCAAAGCACAGGTGGGGGTTTTAGTAACACAAGATGGCTGCACCCAAGCAGAGGTTAAGTAAAGAGACTTACCAAGCAATCAGCAGGGACCTGAGGCTGCATCCCCCAACTGGCGGGGCTTGATGGGGGACTTCAAGGAGCTCCCCCAACCCCAGCACTGGGCTAGGTAACCTCAGGCCGGGCCCCCCAGGCCTGGCACCAGGCCAGGGAACCTCAGGCCACACCCCCCTCCAGGGGGGCGGGGGGTGCTTGATGGGGACCTGAAGGCACGCCCCTGGCCTAGGGCAGGGGAGCTAAGGCTGGACCCCCAACTTGCATTCACCTGGGGACCTGAGGCTGTGCCCTGCACACTGGGCTGGGGGACCTGAGGATGTGCCCCCCCCCCCACCCAGTGGGGTGTGGAAGGGTCCCTGAGGTTAGGCCCCCCGCCTGTTGGGGCTTGACGGGGGTGAGGCTGGCTGGGTCAGGGTCTCGTGTGATTTCGAGGAGCGCACAGGTGGGCGGAAACTTGACTCTGGGTCTCACGGCACACCCCAGACTCTGACAGGAGCAAGATTTTCATGTACATTTTACTAATTTTTTTTTTTTTATCTCTGACACTTATATTATAGATAAAGGCCAAATAGCAATATTAAACTATTTCCTCTAATTCCCTTTTAATGTGCATGAATTTCATGGACCAGGTCACTACTATTAAAATTTTAAAAAAGATTTCACAGCCAACCCGCTTGGCTCAGTGGATAGAGCGTCGGCCTGCAGACTGAAAGATCCCAGGTTTGATTCCCGTCAAGGGCATGTACCTTGGTTGTGAGCACATCTCGAGTAGGGGGTGTGCAGGAGGCAGCTGATTGATGTTTCTCTCTCATCAATGTTTCTTACTCTCTATCTCTCTCCCTTCCTCTCTGTAAAAAATCAATAAAATATATTTAAAAAAAAAAGATTTCACAGAGTATACAGTTGAAATTACTGCACTGAGTAAGAGGACAAAGAAATCAACATTTTCATGCAATAAAAAACATTTCCCTAGTCTTTGAGGCCCAAAATGAGGAATTTGTGAAAGAGTGGATGTGCCAATGAGTATACCAGTGTACCAATCCATTAATATTTTTTTTTTTTTAAATATATTTTATTGATTTTTTACAGAGAGGAAGGGAGAGGGATAGAGAGCTAGAAACATCGATGAGAGAGAAACATCAATCAGCTGCCTCCTGCACATCTCTACTGGGGATGTGTCCGCAACCCAGGTACATGCCCTTGACCGGAATCGAACCTGGGACCTTTCAGTCCTCAGGCCGATGCTCTACCCACCGAGCCAAACCGGTTTCGGCGATTAATATTTTTTTGAAATTAAATTTCCAGAGTTTTACTTTTTATATTAAGCACTATCATTTTGGCATACAATAAATCTAATTTGGGAGAAGTATTCAGGTTAATATTTTTCTCTGTGCTTCCTTCAAGGTAACTGAGCTCCAGCTGCTCTTCTTCCCCAAGAAGATCCATGAGACACTCCTCAGGTGAGTTCTAGTCCATACTTCAGATTTTAGCCTCAGAAATATGTCCAGGCCCGAGTAGAGGAATATGTAACAGTGGCCTCTGCTCCCTCCCACCTGTCAGGATGACCTCCCACCTAAGAAAATCACATCCTGGGCATGAAGATGTCTCGATTTCCCTGCCTGAAGCTTGGTTCTCTCCAGCTGGGCTCTCCTCATCATTCTCAGATTTCTATGTTGTCACCACTTAGTTTAATGGAAATTACCATCCCTTGGAGCCGGGAGAACCGAGTTACTGCCTGAACCTTTTTATTTTCTGCAGTTTATCCAGTTACTTTCCCTGGTCCTCACTGAGACCTGTGCAGCTCCAATGGCAGTTTTCCAAGATTTCCCAGAACTGAGAGGTTGCCCAGGAGGCAGACTAGCATTCCAGAGCAGCCCCAGAAAAACTGGGTAGAGTCGGTCCCCCTCTTAATGGTGGAGTTTGTAGTCTGAGCTAGTGCACATGTGAAGTTCTTTCCCTTCCTGTTGAAGATGTGTCGATAGTGTACCAGTGTAGCAATCCATTAGTATTTTTTTCGAAATTAAATTTCCAGAGTTTTACTTTCCATATTAAGCACTACCATTTTGTGCAGACAGTAAGTGTATATTTAGAAGGAGGCTGTTGACAATAAATGTGGGAAGGTATCTGAGGAAACAACCCCTTCAATTAAGTCACTGCTTCATATAGGCCTCTCTGCTCTGGAGATGGGGAACATCTAGAGCAAGAATTCTCTCAGAGCCTTATCTTCTCTAGGTAGGACAGGACTTTGTGTCGTCACAAAATCATCTCCAGAGCCATGGTAACGGTTTCTCTTCATCTGTTGCTGAGCCTCGGGGAAGTCTTGTTGGAGTGAGCCAGTGCGCTGACAGCTCACAGCTCACAGCTGACAGATGTGGCATTAAGAGCCAGAGGAAGTGGTGACATGTGGCTCCATGGGCCTTCCTGAGATCTGCCAATTCTGGCCACTGTTGAACTCATCAATTTCAGATTTTTGCTTTTAACTAAACATGATATATTTAATTTTCATTTTTACAGGGGTGGTTTTCCCTAATAGTTAGTGTTTCTTTAATGTTATGAATGTCTTTTTTGTTACTGCTTATTTATCCATTTTAAAAAATTTTATGCTAGGAAAAAAATATGTTTCTCTCAAAGTTATTTTATGTCTCTCTGTAATTACATCTGTTAGAAGGTCCATCTTCTCCAGACACCGTTTCATCTGAAATCAATAGCAATTCTCTTGTATTTCTTTGCCCAAACACATGACTTTGTTTATCTCATCCAAATTACTTCAAAAACCAGGCAACACGTGTACTTTAGGACATGGGTAAACTGACTCTTTTTAAGCTACCCTTGCTCATACAAATGCTTTGCAGTGCAGTTGTTTGCCCTTTTTAAAGTCAACAGTTGGCCCTAGCTAGTTTGGCTCAGTGGAAGAGTGTTGGCCTGTGGACTGAAGGTTCCCAGGTTTGACTCCTGTCAAGGGCATATGCCTCGGTATAAATACAGTCAATAGTTGACTTCCAGTGTTCTCCTTGTGATGGGCATTTCCTCTTCTCTCAGGATCACCTAAGTGGGTCAGAGCATCCTGAGCACTAGGTCTTGGTGGAGATGCCAAAATGAGAAGTTGCAAGCATCCTGGCCCCCACCAAACAGCCTCCCAGGTGACCAGTGCTGGGCCTGGGACAAGGACCACTGTCCCTCTGGCAGCCTCCTGTCCTGCCACCCTCACCACGTTCAACCCACAGAGGCCCCCAGCTGATGTTCCTGTGACCTTTGAGGATGTTGCTGTGCACTTCTCTAAGGAGGAATGGTGCCTCCTTGATGAGGCTCAGAGACACCTGTTCCTCGAAGTGATGCTGGAGAACTTTGAACTCATATCCTCTCTAGGTTGCTGCTGTGGAGCAGAGGATGTGGAGGCACCTACTGAGCAGCATGTTTCTGGGACAGTGTCACAGGCAAAGAACCCCAATGGAGCTGTGTCCTCCCAGAAGAGCCACCCCTGTGAGTGTTGTGGGCCAGTCCTGAGAGACATTTTCCACTTGGTTGAGCAGCAGGGAACACAACACAGCCTGAAACTATTGAGGTGTGGGGCATGTGCAAAGCAGTTTCATTTCAGCCAGAAAGCCATTGGCTGCAACCAGACGCTTGCTCAGGACCATGGTGTCTGTAATGGACTACAGTGTTTTGTGTGCCGTGAATGTGAAAAATCTTTTACAAAAATCTCTGATCTCCATTATCATCAGAAATTGCACACAGGAGAAAGTCCATACGAGTGCAGTGAATGTGGGAAATGCTATAAAAAACAATCCACCCTTATTCTACACCACCGACTTCATTTGAAAGAAAAGCTTCACAAGTGTGGCGAATGTGGGAAATTCTTTATCCAAAGTTCAAGCCTCATGCAACACCAGAGAGTTCACACTGGAGAAAAGCCATATGAATGTGATGAGTGTGGGAAATCCTTTAGCCAAAGTTCAAGCCTCGTTCAACACAGGAGAGTTCACACTGGAGAAAAGCCATATGAGTGTGGTGAATGTGGAAAATATTTTACCAGAATCTCTGGTCTTTATCGTCATCAGAGACTTCACACTGGAGAAAGGCCTTATAAGTGCAGTGAATGTGGGAAATCTTTTGTCAGGAAGTGTGAGTTGAGTTATCATCATAAATGTCACACTGGAGAAAGGTCTTATGAGTGTAGTCAGTGTGGGAAATCTTTAACCACTAGTGATGGCCTCCGTTATCATCAGAAACTTCACACTGGAGAAAAGCCTTATAAGTGCAATGAATGTGGGAAATCTTTTGTCAGGAATGTTCAGCTCAGTTATCATCAGAGAAATCACACTGGAGAAAGGCCTTATGAGTGCAGTCAGTGTGGGAAATCTTTTACCACTAGTGATGGCCTCCGTAATCATCAGAGACTTCACACTGGAGAAAGGCCTTATGAGTGCAGTCAGTGTGCGAAATCTTTTACCAGTAGGAGGAGCCACCGTCGTCATCAGAGACTTCACACTGTAGAAAGGCCTTATGAGTGCAGTCAGTGTGAGAAATCTTTTACCACTAGTGATGGCCTCCGTAATCATCAGAGACTTCACACTGGAGAAAGGCCTAATGAGTGCAGTCAGTGTGGGAAATCTTTTACCACTAGTGATGGCCTCCGTCGTCATCAGAGACTTCACACCGGAGAAAGGCCTTATGAGTGCAGTCAGTGTGGGAAATCTTTTACCAGTAGTGATGGCCTCCGTTATCATCAGAGAATGCACACCGGAGAAAGGCCTTATGAGTGCAGTCAGTGTGGGAAATCTTTTACCAGTAAGAGTAGCCTCCGTTATCATCAGAGAATGCACACCGGAGAAAGGCCTTATGAGTGCAGTCAGTGTGGGAAATCTTTTACCAGTAAGAGTAGCCTCCATTATCATGAGAGTCTTCACACCGGAGAAAGGCCTTATGAGTGCACTGAATGTGGGAAATCATTTGCCCTGAACATTCAGTTGCATCTTCATCAGAGAGTTCACAGGAGAAAGGGCTCAGGATTGCAGTGAATGTGGGAAATATTTTGCCATAAACAGTTACTTTCGTTGTCATCAGAGACTTTACAGGTGTGCCTATACTTTTGAAAGGAATTACTTTCAAAGATCTTGCAAAGGGCCATGTGTCCTAATGTCTGCATTTCCATGGGTGATGGTCACTTGGGTATATAGGATAGTAGGGTTTAGGGCAAAGCATAATTACTACAGAATCACTGGCTTAATAGAGATTGTGCATAATTCTTAAAATGGAGATAGGTTTCATTTATCTTTATCAATAACTCATAATACGATGTCCAAGTCAGAGGAGAGGAGAATGTTTAACTTAAAGAAATTAGGAAGTTGTGATTTAAGCCAATTGCATATTTTTGCATTCTTCCAGCAGTGTATGACAGATTTAATTCCTCCACATCTAGAAAAGGTTTGCTCAGTCCTTTATTTAAACCTTTTTGTAACTTTGTCATGCTATATCACTGTTGTTTGCATTTTTTCTAAGGCTTTATGGTGAGCCTTTTTTCAGATGTGCATTTGCTATCTCTATATTTGGTTAAATGTCTGAGCATATGTTCTGCCAAATCTATGAATTTTGGCAAGTTTTTTTAACAAACGAACAGGTTAGAATTTCACTCATTTTGCGTCTTTTTTGCTTTGTAGGATAAGTGTTTTTCATATTGGAATAAAATAAAATGAACAATTGACTTAAGATAAGGATCTTATTTCATTCTTTGGATGGGAGTATCTAGTTTTCCCAGCACTGTTCATTGAAGAGAAACTATCCTTTCCCAAGTTTGTATTATTGGCTCGTTTGTTAGAGAGGAGTTGGCAGTATATGCAGGGGGTTTTGGACTACTTGGAAATAGGTCATTTTTTAAAAATATATTTTTATTGATTTTTTACAGAGAGGAAGGGAGAAGGATAGGATAGAGAGTTAGAAACATCGATGAGAGAGAAACATCGAACAGCTGCCTCCTGCACACCCCCCCACCCCCCCCACTGGGGATATGCCCTCAACCAAGGTACATGCCCTTGACCGGAATGGAACCTGGGACCCCCAGTCCATAGGCCGACGCTCTATCCACTGAGCCAAACCAGCCAGGGTGAAATAGGTCATTCTTGGGGACATCACAGTCAGCTGCAGAGGTTATCAAGATGAGGCACTGAGGGGAAGGAAAAAATGAACCAACTTGGGACTGATCTTTACAGTCAGTTTAGAGCAGTGGTTCTCAACTTTCCTAGTGCCGTGATCCTTTAATACAGTTTCTCATGTTGTGGTGACCCCCAATTACATTGTTACAAATTGAACATAATTAAAGCATCGGGATTAATCACAAAAACATTATGTAATTATATATGTGTTCTGTGAAAGGGTCGTTCGACCTCCAAAGGGGTTGTGACCCAAGATTGAGAACCACTGCAAATGAAGCACTGCAATGTGACAAGAGCCCTGAGTTGAAATTTGCATTAACTAGATGACCTTTCAAAGAATAGCAGCTCCTTTCACCATGAGATAGAGTTTCTGAGAAGGAAAGTTTGTTGAGACTTTAAATATAGTAAGACAGTGGCTTACACAGTTCTCAGTTCCCACAACATTGCCATGATGTACCAGTGTTGTTAGCCCATTTTATAGAACAGGAAGATAAGGCTTAGCAGAGTGAGCTAAACTGTCCCAAATCACAGGGCTAATAGTGACACAACCACAGAGTGTGCTGCTCCTGGGAGCTTCTGGTTAAAGACTCTTCCTCAGTTCTGCTGCCACATTGTCAGCCACGTCCTGCTCTGCCTGTGTCTCTACCTGTCCCTCTGTCTCTATGCTGTGTGAATTGTGTCCTTGTCCATTTCTCATAGGAGACCTTCTCAGCTTCTTCTTGTAGTTAACAGTTTTCTGCCTCTAGAACGACTTCCCATTCTTCACTGTGTATAATGAGAGCAAGTTCTTTTCTTCTGTGGCTCTTTTTTATTGTACTGTCCCCACGTGGCATAAACACGAGAGCCCTCCCTCTCCCTGTCCTGGGGCCTCTGTGTGAGGTATGGGGCAGTAGGAGAGGACGGCAATGGTAAGGCCCCATCTTCTCACAGACGGGCCCCCCTGCAGCACAGAAACCATCTCTCTAGAAAACAGCATCACGAGTCCAGCTGGACATACAAAAAGAAAGTTCACCTTTACCAGTAACCCCAGAATTTCTAGTGAGCTAGAAATGTGACACCATTTTCACTTGGCCCACCTCCTGATCCAGCAAAGATGGAAAGGCATGCTAATTCACAGTGTGGGCCTCGGTGTGAACCAGGTGACACACGGGTTATTCTTGGGATCATAAACTAATAAAAATCTTACTGGCTGACGGTTCAGCTTTTTAATTTTTTTAAAACAAAAACACGTTCGCATTTTACCCATCAATCCAAATTCAGCTATTCTCAAGAAATAACCAGACAAATTGTAAAATGTACGTTAAAGGATAATGATTATATCATAGTTCAGGATACAAAAGAATTGGGAAGAGCACATCAATACAAAAATATTTTCAAAAGTGGATAAATTAGTTTGGGTACATCCATGTAATGGAATGCTTTCTTGCATTAGCAAACACTTGTACCTTGAACAACATAGGGGTTAGGGCACCAACCCCCCATTTTGCCATAGTGGAAAATTTGAGTGTAACTGTTGATTCCCCAAAAGCTTAACTACAATCATACCTTGGTGTCCACGGGGGATTGGTTCCAGGACCACCCAGTGGATACCAAAATCCATGGTTGTTCAATCCATGGATGTGCATGATATTCATGCACTGGGGGCTGGAGGTGGTTGTCCTCAGCCTGGTCTGTGCCCACTCTCAGTCTGGGACCCCTTGCAATGATTCTCAACCTGTGGGTCACAAACAATGAAAATACATCCTGCATATCAGATTTACATTATGATTCACAACAGTAGTAATATTACAGCTATGAAGTAGCAACAAAAATAATTTTATGGTTGGGAGTCACCACAACATGAGGAACTGTATTAAAGGGTCACAGCATTAGGAATGTTGAGAATCACTGCTATGGGATGTCTTCCTGCCGACTTAGGCCCTCTCCCCATTGGATATCCCTCTCACAGTCCAGGGCTCTCATAGTCTCAGGCTCTGGCAGTCCAGGACCCCTCGCTCCTTACTTCCCACCTGCAGCGGAGGCAGTAGAGGCTCACACCACTGTCATTTCGCTCACAAGCCGTGAGTCCAGCTTCTGGCTGAGCGACACTCCCCCTGTGGGAGCACACTGACCAACAGAGGCAGTTCCTGTGTTAGGCATCTGTCCCCAGTTTTCAGTGCACATCATAGCGACCTCTAGTTCCGCTGTTCGGTCACTTTGCATATTGCGGTTTTATTATATAGGATGACATCGAACAGTGCCTACAGTCAGCCCTCCACATCTGCAGATCCCCAACCACAAAGAGAAAACACTGTTTTTGCTCCTCACTTGAATCCATTAATTTTAAACATGGGGTATAGAATTGACTATGTACTTACTGAAAAAAATCCACATATGAGTGGACCCACACAATTCAAACCCAATTTTCTGTGAGAAGCTTAAAGGTATATTCAAGTCTGTGATAGCATAACCTGTTTGGCACTTTTTACTTTTTCTCTTCAGGCATGAACCATCCACAAACAAACAAAGGATATCCAAAGGAGTATCTAAAAGATCCACTAGGAGCATGAATAGTTTTATCACAGGTCAGGGACACAGCTATCAGTCCCATTCTGTCCTTTCAGTATTTGTTCCCGTTTTGTTTTCTTACTTCAAAATAAGATATGTGTAGTGTGCATAGGAATTCGTTCATAGTTGTTTTTTTTTGGAAACTATAGTCCGGCCCTCCAATGGTCTGAGGGACAGTGAATTGGCCCCCTGTTTAATAAATTTGAGGACCCCTGCCCAACCTTTTTAATGAATAAAATCAAGAATAAAAGGGGAAAACTCTAACACAGAAAACAATTGGGAGAAAATGAACCTGAAATGAATGTCAGACACAGTGAAAAGGGGAGTATGTTTTGAACCAGTATTTTCCCTTCATACTCTCAGGTTCTAACCAATATTGAACTCTATGTAGTAGATTTCTTTTCCATAGCAGAGTTAGCAATTATGCAAGTATATTCCATGTATTCTAGGATTAAGTAAATATATTGTAGATAATTAAAGGCTGGTTTTTCACTTTTGGAGAAGGAAATTACATATGGAAAGGGAGGGCGTGGACCTGCAGACTGAAGGGTTCTGGCTTTGATTCTGGTCAAGGGCACATGCCCAAGTTGTGGACTCCATCCCAAGGTGGGGGGCATGCAGGAAGCGGCCAATCAATGATTCTCTCTCATCATTGATGTTTCTATCTCTTTCTCCTCTCCCTCTCCAAAACGAATGAAAAAAAAATTATTTTTTTAAGGAAAAGGAATAAAGGGAAGTGGTTGAAATGAACCTTAGCTGTTTGACTGAACCTGGAGGTATCATATGACCTTTTAATTTTTAAGATGGACACATTGAGAGTGTGGACGAAAGGGGCCCCATGCTGACCTGACAAGTTTGCATGGTGGTCTTGCAAACTCAGAGAACTATAGTAACCACAAAAGATGGAATGAAATTAAACTTTTAACTAAAAGCAGTTATGGTGGGTAGTTACATCCTTGGCAAGTATCTTCACTGACAAGGTCAACCATAACTGAGCCTATCTGTCTTTTTGCATCTACAGTAACAAATCCTTGAAATGTCTGGGTAATTTATAACTTCCCTGTGTCTGAACCCCTTGGGGCACAACCTAATGTGCCTTAGCCCCTGGACAGATACACAAATTCCTTCATTGTTATTTTTATCACGTTAATTGTTGAGTGTTAACTATCCTACACCCATCTAAGTATCCTGCCATCCTCAGGAGCACTATCCCAATCCATTGAGATACTGCTTCCTGGCAATTGCGAATAGTTTGTCTCAAATAAAATCACAAAAATTCTTTACAGGCTTGAATGTTTTTACACTAACAGGGGATACATAGGAAAAGGAATACGAAGATGATAGATGTGTGTGACTGTGTTTCTGTGTATATAGTTATGCTAGATACATAGGGTTGTGTGTGTATGTAAATATATACACATGTATGTACATAATATAAATGTGTAAATATATTTAAATATACACTCATATGT